CTCAGAGGAGGGTTCCTGGGTGCATAACATCTCATTCTGGCCCTGAGCCTAGGGCAGCTGCCTCCAGATCCCGGGGAGCTGGACGCTGGATCTGGGTTCCTGGAGCCCCTGGAGCCCCTGCTGTCTCCCATCCTAGTGACAAGATGCCCTACTCACCTTCTACCACCCCTAGTAAAATGTATTAAAGTTTGAAGTGTTACCACAGAAACCTCTGTGTCTAGTATACTATGGTGCCAAAGGATATGGTCAGAGGTTGGGGGGTGCAGCGGTTCATAAAGAACAAAATAGAGCAGGACAGTGGACAGAGACACAAATACCCACGGAGAAAGGCAAATATGCAGAAGGGCTTTAAAAAGCGTCTTGTGCTGGGGTGCATGTAGAGTTACTTGAGTTTGCTGGTTTGGGGTGTAAAGGGTCTTTGTTCAGATTTGTGACCTTGGTTTTAGAGTGTTACTCTATTCCCATTGCCGCAGCTCCCCTCCTTCCCCCGATCCATGTTAGGGCCCACTTTCTGGGCAGGAAAAGGTTTGGGCCTGACTTGGTGTCACAGGCCTGGAGTTTGCTCTCCTACATGCTGCATTCTAAAGCTCTTTTTCCAAGTGTGTATGTGGGGGTGGGGGATGGGGGAGGCATCCACACTCCTTGTCCTGGCCCCAAGAGTGGAAGGGAACACGGGGGCAGCAGTGACTCCCACCCCACGGGCCTCAAGAGCTGGAGTCTAGGGTCCTAGGAAATTCATGGCGCTGTCTCCCAAAGCACCAGGCCTGCTCCAGTTCAGTCCTTTGCCTTCCTCTCTCAATGGTCTGCTTCTTGTTCAGTTCTCGTCCCACACTGCACCACTCGTCTTAAAGACCGCTTTCTCCACTTTCTGCCAGGTTCCTTCCGACTTCTTCCGTATACTGGCCGCTCCCAGGGTTGGGTCTCGGCCCCATCGGCTCTCTTTGGCCCTGCTCATTCATTCCTTCTCCCATCCTCTCCCCCTCCTTTCCTTCTCTCCTTCCTTTCCCCTCCCTATCCCTGCCCCCTTTCCTCTCTCCTCTCTGCTCCCGCATTTCCCTCCGGCAGCCTCCGGCGGCTCTGGCACCATGCTCCGGCTCCTCCGCTTGCTGCTGCTCCTGTTGCTGCTGCCTCCCCCCGGCACCCCCGAGCCCCCCGGCTTGGCCGCTGTGTCCCCTGGTGCGCCCCCACAGGCCCCGGATTTGCTATACGCCGATGGACTGCGCGCCTACGCGGCAGGGGCCTGGGCGCCGGCGGTGGCACTGGGGC